CTGATGCTAGGTCACAAAGTTTTGGCAGCCAGGGGTTGCTAATTTGGTGTTTGCATAGCTAAGTGTGGGAAAAGAAGCATATGACATGGTTCCATTTATTATTAGAAACCACAGAAATGTATGTGATTGCTGGGGAGTTGTACTTCGTCTTCCTGCCACTTGTTTCATAGCCTTGCTGGTTCTGCTTTTCACAGTCACATGTTCCCCTCTAGCTCAGGGACAGGATTTTCCAGATGAGTTACAACTATGCAGCTGATTTTACAATTGGTACACCGTGCTCATGGTTTGGTATTACGCTTCTTTTTTTCCACTGCCTCAGAGCTTCCTGCCACGTAGGAAAAACATCCGCAATAAAGGCCTTGTTTTCAGGACACGAGGGTTGACTTCGAGGAAAACCCTTCAGGTAGGAACATAGCATGAGGGCAAAGCGTCAGTGATTGAACACTTGGGAACCTATCTCAGGCCTAAGATGTCTTTTGCACAACAGTATGCCAGGGCCCCCAGCATAAGAAAGACACAGAACTGTGGGAGCAGGTCAAGTGGAGGGCCACAGAGGTCATCAGAGGGTAGGGCATCTCTCCTACGAAGAAAGGCTGAGAGAGCTGGACTGGTTTAGCTGGAGAAGGCTAAGGAAAGACCTCACTGTGGCCTTCCAGTTCTAAAAGGGAGCTTATCAACAGGAGGGAGTGTGACTTTTTTTGCGTGGCCTGATAATGAGAGGACAAGGAAGAACGGTTTTAAATTAAAAAAGGGGAAATTCATCCTACATGTTGGGAGGCGTTTTTTACTCAGGGGGTGGTTAGGCACTGGAACATGTTGCTGAGAGAGGCTGTGGGTGCCTCATTCCTGGAGGCATTCAAGGCCAGGTTGGATGGGGCCCTGGTCAGTTTGATCTGGTGGGTGGCAGACCTGCCCATGGCAGGGGGATGGAACTAAACGATCTTCAAAGTTCTTTCCATCCCAAAACATTCTATGACTCTATGATTCTCTGGATACATTTTTGTCTCTCTTTGTCCTAGCAAGAAATGTTCCCCACAGACCTTCCCTACTACTCTCTAGTGTCTCCTCCAAGAAGACTGCAATTATTCTCAAAAGCAAAAACGAAGCAATCTATTTTTATATATATTTTACTGGGGAAGATTGGGTTCTCATCCATCTCCTACCACAGCAGAGGGATATTTCAGCCAGGGAACAGTGGAGCTGTAGTTATGCATTTCAGCCCCAGAAGAGGTTCAAATGCACATCTTCCTGAGGAAAGGAGAGCCCCAGCAACAAGGTGGCTAAGCACCACTTTCAGTGCACTAAATGTAATGTAAAGAACCTGCAGCTGCCCTTTATGAATAACACACGTGTTGTCAGTGTGCCCTGGCACTGAGCGTATCTCCCAGGCAGGCTGGTGTTCCCAGCTCACCCTGTGGCTGGGAGTCTCTTGAGAGGCTGAAGTGGAAGTCAGCATCAGAAACCACAGCAGAACTGAAGGAGTTTGTAAGAATTCCAGGTCAGGTTGGGGCACCGACAAAGTGTGTTAAGGTGAAACACTGAGTGTGTCAGTGCATCCTGAGGGCTTGTTTGCTGCTGGGTATGTCTTCTCTGTTTGCCACATTGGAACTCAGTCTTCTGAAGCAAGAAGTGGGTCAGCTTTGGTGTAACAGTCTGATTTTTGTGCCTGCTTTACTTCAATCATTGTTACTGTTTGAATGAGAGTCCTCTATTGACTATCTATAGTTCTAAACAAGGAAAACAAATACTGTTTCTTCAGACGAGCTGCCAATGTCTTTATAATTCCCACGGTTGTAGTGCTTTGATTGGATTTGGGTGCCAGATGCATGGATTCCTCTGACAAACAGCTTTCTGGCAGGAGAGGAAGATCTGGCTCCAGAAAGCCTGTTTGTGTAAAGCGTTGCCATGATACTGTCTATCGTTACCTGCACTGATTTGCTTTGAAGAAGCAGAGAAGCTAGACACCAGTTAAATAAATAAAAATAGAGATAGGAAATACCTTGCACACACCCACACAATCCTTTCCCTACCACTAAGTGACCCTGAAAGGGAAGCTTTAGACATTTTTGATCTGGCACCCCAGTAGTAAGGGAAAGGATTCAGTTCTACTGATTTTGTTCTCACACTGCCCACTGATGGAACCCAACTGTCACTGCTGACAAAACAGAAAAGTTTTCAGGAACAAGGAAAGGTCAGCAAAGATTGGGGACGCTCAACCGGGTGACAAAGAAGATGGTGGAAGTGAAGGCAGAGGAAGCTACCAGCTTTCAGGGGCAGGTAGATTCTCCTGTTTGACTTCTTGCCCTCCCCGAGGCTCCAAGCAACTGGCAAACATTCTCCATTTTGGTTGGCAAGAAATCAGCAAGTGACCTGATGTTAAGATCTGGGAAAACTGGAACGGTTTGTTTGCTTGACCTTTATCTTTCAGGAACTCTGTATGCGTGAGTGCTCTGCTAGCTGCTGGCCAGCCCCAGAGACCCCCTGCACTCGGCAGCCACAGCTCCCCTGGCCTGACCCTGAGGGAGCAGCAGACCCTGTTTCCCTGCTCCAGACACCTCTCATCTCCATCCTTCCTTCAGGCAGGGCTCTGAAGGCCCTTTCTCAGCATTGCTCTTCTTCCTAGATCTGACCAGCCTTCACAGATAACAAAAGGACACAGAAACCATGACTGCTTTTACCACCCGCAGAGGAGACAGAAGGGATTCAAGAAGGATCTTTGACCAGGCACTGCTGAAGCTAAGATTCATCAAATCATAACTCCACCGCTCTGCACAGCGTTTGTTCTTTAAGGCCGTATACAGAAAATCTGAGCAGTAAATGTTCTCCATCTTTGATCAACGTGCCAGCGTGCTGCTGTGAAGTGAAACAGCGTAGGCTGGCAGATGAGAATTTTCCCCAGGGGCATTCCGTGGGGAACACAACAGAGCTGCCTTAACAAGGAAATAAATCTTAAAATATATGAATGCTGTTGTGTAAATGCTTTTGTAGTGCTCGGGGAATAAACCAAAATAATTTAAAAATGCCAAAGCCTCTATTCTGTATTTCTTTGGTTTTTTAACATTTTTGCAAATCTTGGAATTAGCAACTACGTGCTAAAGAGCAGTGCTTTCTTGACAGTTGCGACATGAAGCATCTCAGCTTCCTGCCTTTGCAGTCCCTTGCAGGCCGAGCTTTCCCTCAAGCTGCAGGATGAAAGCCAGGCAGGAACCAGGGGAGGGCTGGATGCTGCCTGCCATCATAGCCCAGGTGTAGCTATGGCTAAATCCCCAACTTCCTCATCAACATATAACATGTGTGTACCTACATGGTAAAACATCTCTCCTAGGATTCAGACTCCCAGTTCACTTTTTGTGTGGCTGCTTTTGAATGCAGCCCCGCTGCCAGATCCAAGCGACTCACCCAGCTGGTAGGGCCACCTCCAAAGGCAAGTTATTCCAGTGTGGTTACTTGTAGCAGAAACCTGCAGCTGCAGCCTTTTAAAATGACCTGGGGTGTGCACCATGAGATTGCAGAGGCTGCACAGTGACTGTAAAGGGGAAGAACTGAATTTCCTGAGGTAACGCTTTCTTGCAAAGATGGGAAGCTGCCTTGGCTAGAAATACCTGGCACACACAAAGGTAAGGTGCAAGAAGCACCAGAGGAAGCGCTGTGAGCAGTCCTTCAGCTCCTAGAAGCATTAAGGACACAAGCTCCAGCTGTTCCCAGGAACTATCGTGTTGCTTCTCTTTTTCCCCACTAACATCTATTACAATCTTCTTTTAAAATCTTTTCTGCAATCTATTACAGAGCTTCTCAGGAGAATCAACAGGACTTTGGCAAAGGATGCCAGACACTTTCTGAAGTAAGCTACACAGCACTGAGAGTTCAAGATTTCCTATTGTTTCCTTGTAATGCCTCTCACAGCTCTTGGCAGCTCACGAGGATTGGGCATGGTACTTCTTACATGAGTGTGTACTGGAACTGCAAACATTGAGCAATGCACACTGCAGCAGCTCCAGATGGTTAAGCAAAACTAATACAGCATGATTAACTAGCTTTTAAACACTCGCAAAGAAAGCTATCTGAACACAATAAAGCTACTCATATTTTCTTTGCCAATCTTACTAAAAGCTTCACTTAGCTTACAGGCAGGATTCAATGGGATGCAGTGTTGAGAACAGCTTACCTGGTACTCAATTCCCAACAGTTAAATAGCATTTAGTTAAAAACACTGATTGCAGAGCACATCAAATGCATCCTACCTCCTGCTTGTGCTCCACACCTTCATTTGCCAATACAGACCTGGATTCCAAATAGCCTCAAATACAAACAGTACTTGACAGGCTCTTGCCTGAACCCGCAACTCTGGCTCCCCTATTTGATCCTGTGCCTGGATTTGCAAGATGAGGCAGAAAATACCTACAGAGGAGTCACAGGCTCTGCTGGAATTTCACCTATATCATATAACCTGTCAAACCCTACCTGAATTAAAGTGCTATCTACCAGAATTATTTTTATTGGGATGTCTAATTACACAGTAGATCTAATTAGAAGTTATTTGCCTACTTTAAGTTTGATTTTGTCAAATGCTTTTAATCAGGTACCTATATTAACATTAATTTACAATCCATTCCTACCAGCTGCCATAGGATGATGGATTAGATGTTAGTGTAATTGCATCAGCACTGAAAAAAATCTTCAGGAAATGAAGATGCTTCAGTATCATTGTACACTGGCATGAGAGTAGGACAACCTTCTCTGAATATACTTGGATACCCATCCCTTCCTGGAAGTGGCATACAGGAAGAATGCAATTTTTTTGCTATCTTTGAAAGCAAATTCAGTAGCACCCACAGGAAAGTTCTCCACAAAGTTGATTTTGAAGGCTATTCTGCAGCTGGAAGTTCTCAGTTGTTGTAAAACACTGCCTGAGCAAAGCAAACATCAATACTTACTACCATATTTTCAGTTCAGTAATGCTGCAGGAGGACTTCAGAACAAAACAGCCCTACGACACAAAATAGGTTTTTAAAGTCCTTTATTAATCTGAATATAAAAAGACAGAAGTTGCCTACAATATAGGACAAAAGCTCTCGCTTCATGAGGAAACAAAATTTTCTTTACAAAGTGAAAAAATAAATACCCTCTTAGAGTAAGGTTTATATGCTAATGTGTCATAAAAAAGTAGAGTTTTAATATTTTGACAAAATGTCTGTGCAAAGAAACAGATGCATAAACACACATTACTGCTACATTAAGGCAATATGAAAAGTATAGTCAGAAAGATTCAGTAAAGTGACAGTGTATTTTTCTAGCTTTGAATAAGCCAGTATTGCACCCAAATACGGTCTCTAGTTCCCTCTGTATCCTGGAGAATATACTAGGAAACTGGAGTCTCAAATGCCCGAACAGGAGGGGGGAGGTGGAGAATAAAAACATTTTAGCAATTAATAACCTAGCCAATAAAGACATTAACCAAAGAAAGCATTTAAAATTATGCATGACCACAATGGTGCATGATTGACACTTTGATATCAATCTCCAGCAATAAAGTCAACTTCAGGGCAGCTAACTGCAGCAGCTGCCATCACCCTCCAAGCTGGATGCTGATCTTCCCAGGTTCATACTGGGAATACTTTGCCTGAGAATCATGGATGGAGCCTCTCCACAGTGCTTTCCATAGGGCATCACTATGAACTACAAGACTCTCCTGATCTACCCTCAGCACTTTGAAATTAACCAACTTGTTCTGCCTTGAAAGCTACACACTGGGATTTTCTATTTAAGAAGACAGAACACAGCTGCCTGAGGAACCCTTTTAACTTTTCTTTTTCCAGTGTTCTCCCCCCTTTAAAGCAACTGACTAAAAGCAGAAGCTACAAGCCATACTAAACAGGTATTTGTAAAAGCTGGTTTTACTATTAAAATAAATGGAATGACTGAACTAAAAAAAAAGAATTGGAAGAGTAAAAGAAAAGGCTGCATTGCTCTTGCTGGGAATAACAATGCATATACCACATTTCTCCAGGGCTCCCTAGCTTTTTGGCAACACTGCCATACTACAAACTTACACATGATTTTCCTTTTCAGTAACATAAATCAATTAACAGCTTTGCTCTCAAAAGCTGTCCCAAACCATCTTGGGCATGCTGAGCGAAGAATATTTATGTTTGAAAACGCAGTATTTTTGCTTTTAATCATGGATTGGTGCCAGAGTGATTGCTTTCTTCACCATCAATGGTTGCAATTTGTATTAGTGCAGTTTAAAGAGGACACGATGGATTTAAAGCGTGTACGGAGATCATATCACAGTCAGATTGAGGAGACTAGTGTGGGTTGGCAAGTACACATGCTGGACATGCTCTACACGAGATCTGCAAACAGGACATGACTGCAAAGGAAAAAAGGACATTAGTTTACTTCAGATTTTGAACACTTCTGCCTTTACTGGAGACTACACGACAAGCAGTATTTCACGACCTCCATATTTAAAACAGGACATTCTGACATTCATCCTTACTCTCACCACAATAGAACTTGCACAGCTACAGCTTATCTTTCCTACTCATCTGAACAGAATGTCCTTTGAAGCTAGCTCACTCAGAGCTATTTTAAAACTCAGTTTCGCTAACAGTGTGCACTGTTTTATTAATCTGGGACTGTAGGTATTCAGAAAACCAAGCTTCCACATCTTTAACTCACGCTTCAATGGCATTGGACTTACCTGTAACTGGGCAGCACAGGCCTTGCAGCACACTGTATGGCCACAGGGACAAAAGGTTGAATTTATTTCCTCTTCACAACACACCATACAAAGCATGGACTCCTTTAGCTTCCGTAACTTCTCTTGCAGAGCTTTTGTTTGTTGGCAGCTAAGGCCCTCACAATTGTCACAGTTCATGCTACTCTCTGAAGATTTCAGAGGAGAACTTGGTGGGGTTTGGTCACTTCTTGAAACAAGATCCACAATGCCAGCATTATAGAGAGCTCTTCTTGCATGATCATAAACCTCTTTTGAGGTTCTTTTAATGTCAAAGACATATTTTTTCCCAAGATTAATGTTTTCGTTCAGGAACAGAGATGCTAGGTGACCCTTTAAGTCTCGACTATATTGCATCATGACAGCACTAGTGACAGTGTCACACCTATAAAACAGTAGGACAAATGCAAGTTTGTTTAGTTATTAAGCATCTCTAGAATTATTTTTCCTAAAGCTGAAATAACATACTGAAACTAAAACAAAAACGGGTCTGACATATTTAAGATCTGACATTGTTTGCATAATACTTTTCAAGCTGTTTTTAAAACAGAAGAGAATGTGACATTTGATATCTTTGAAAAGGTACAAAAATCTGGTAAAACAATCAACCTACTGAAAGGAGTCGAGGTAATAAAAGCAGCAAACACTTGTTTAATACATAATTCTGCCTGGCAGCACCTCTTCACATGGTAATTCCTTGATTGTACATTAAATAACTGTAATTAATAGCCTCCAGCATAACAACCAACAGTTCTTTCCCTAACAGGCTCTCCAAATGTTTTAGCACAGTGCAAGTTTGGTTAAAAGCATTACTTGACACTAAGTATTGATACACCAGCACTGCATCATCTGAAGTACATCAGGGTGAATGCATTAAATGAATGCAGTTCCATTTGCTAGAGTGCTCAGCTAACCTAACCACAGATCAGTGATCTAAACCTCAGAAGCTTAAGACATTGTCACCTTTCTAGACAAGGTAGGATAAGAAAAAAAGAACTATAGCCTCAGATGGTTTAAGGCCCAAGAATCTAAGCTTATGGGCAAATACTAAAATTCTGCTTAATTACAATCAGACACTGCAAAGGACAGCAGAAATGACAAGCAGAGACGAAGACCAGACAGTTAAGATTGTCTAGTAAGTTATTTAAGGTTTTAATTGCCTAGAAAGTAGTAAGAATGCAAAATAAAAGTGCATGGGCAGCTAATTAAGGAGAACAAGTCATGCTTAACATCGTGCTCACAAAATAAGCAGTGGTTAGCTGCTAAGTAGCTGCAGCAGTTAGAAAGGCAACTAGTTGATGTTAATTACTCTCACTGTATTAAACTGATCTGGTATGAGAAGCTGCACAGCTCTTTGCCATCTTCTTCTGCTGAAGTTCAATTCTTCTCTTAAATAACCAATATGTGGTAGTTAATTTAGAGAAGAAATATCACTGATGGTTACTTCTACTGATCAGTGCTGGACTTCACATAGCAGTGAGTAGTAGTTTCAAATAATCAGCCATCAGAAATCGATTATAACAGCTCTGCCTCAAAGACAGAAGGATAAAGACAACTGATAGACCCTGGCATGAAACAGAATCTTAAGTACGTAAGCAGAGTCAAGAGGAAACGTAGGAGGATCATAGGAGCTGTAGGAAGAGAACTTCTGGCAACAAGAGTAGCCTAATGAAGGAGAAATGAGTGCATATCAAGTACACATGCATGAACTACAGCTACAAGTTTTGAAAAACAAGCTCTCCCCTGCTCCTTCGCTCTTGCCTTGACTCATACACAAGGTATCATGAAGTCAACAGCAAGCTTCTGTCCCTAAGATGCTGTTATTCATAGCAGAGTGCTAAAGTTTTTTTTCTTTCAAATACTCCAATCCTACAGAATGGAAAGGAACAAAAAAACTATTCAGCTTCCGGCCTTGAGGGAAGAGCTAAGTTGATTCACATGGCAGCACTGACCTGTAAAACGCGTGGGTCTCTGTAATGGCTCTGTAGAGTCCACTCGCTGCCCTTGTACTGATCATCTTAAACAGGAGAACGACGCTGTTACCGGACTCCTTAGTAACAGTCAGGTACACATTTTTCCCAGACTGAGTTGCCATCTGAACGACAGGATAAGCAATCCTAAGAAAAAAAAATTAGATTTAAAGGGCATTTCCCACGACCTGAAAGCACACTTCCTCAAGTTACCTTCATTTCATGACTTTCCACCACTGCCTGTAATACTGAAGACACTGCTTTGGAAGTACATAAAACTCAGAAGTATTCAGACTGATTGTTGCTACCCTCACAACCTACACTGCAATAGCTCCTTTCAGTAATTCGGAGCAGTTTTGTCTATTTATGTAAAAAAACAGAGGCACACACAGCAGTTCTGAAAAATGAAAAACACTTCCACATAAGACATACCTGTTGATCGGACTAAAGTCATCTTTACAGATGGATATGCCTTCAGGTCCAACACCGATAAGGAGCTTTTGCCCTTCACTGTCTCTAACAGAGTGCCACTCTACCCCGTAGTTCTCCAGTGCTGTCACAATCTGTAGAACCTGATATTCAGCAGAAGCTTGACTTAGACCTTCCAGCTCCTTGTGCTTTGCAATAATGCTGTTGGTGAAAAGATGAAGGATAGATGAAATAACTCAAGTACATGCTGCTGCTGCTAGCAGGTGGGTGTAACATGGGTTTTGGATGACCTAGTTAAACAGATTACTCTTCTGGGTCTGAAATAACTGGAAATCTATAGCTGGATAAAACAGGTCAGACATTTAATAGAAGATTTCTAAAACATTCTGAGAATATTTGGAGATAATACTATAATTTGCTTAAAAACCATAAAGGCTAAATGCAACCAAGACTTCTCTTTTAAGCTACCCTCTCCTTAAGCATTCACCTGAATCAGCATAAAATTCACAATGAAAAATACACAGGAAAGCATTTTAGCCCCAGCAGATACACCATGGCATCAGCAGCTTAGGGCATAACCAAAATTCCATGCTTTTGGCTTCCATATTATTCCATTATTTTACTTATATATATATTTACCTCTCCAGAATAGTGGTGGTGAGCTCTTTTGCACATAGCTCTTCATAATTGTACTTGGCAGTGTTCTGGTTATAGTCTCCAAACTTCATCTGAGCCAACAATGCACTGAGTTCGATTGCATGCTCTGAGGAACACTGAAGATTACCAGCCAAAAGATCTTCTTTTATATGCAAGAAAAACATATGCCTGCAATGAAATCAGAAATGTTTGCTTATATTAGATGATACAGCATGTTTGGTAATCAAAATACATATCGAATACACATCAAATGCACTTGGTAATCAAGAATTTCCAGAGAGTATAACACATTCTGGCATAGGGGAAAGGAGCCCACCTTCTTGCTGTGCTCTTGAAGATGAAAGTACAAGTAAAGGCAGTGTCTGAAAGCATGATTAAAATAAGCTAGACTTCAACATCAGTCTTAATAAATTAACTTGCTTTCACTTTTAAGGCCACTGGCTAACTTCACTAAGTAAAATACCAATGAAACACATAGGTTAATCTCCTTTATTTTCTTTTGTTACTATTTTCAAATTACAAAAGAAAATCTATGAAGAGCAGCTCAAACAGCATATGTAATTTTATCACACAAGGGAGAATGTACTTCCTCTACACAGATGCAAAAGCTCTGCCACCAGTTAAAGATGGCACTTTTGCCATGAATAAGAGAGTAACTTGGAATCAAGGCTAGCTTGAGATGAGCTGGAAAATTCACTAAGCTGTTCTTAATTAGCTAATAGGCCAGTCAGACAAATCAAGTTCTCTACCATCACTAACAGCAGCTCCTTAATTCCCACTGTAGTCTACCTTTACTTCTGCAAATTCATCCTTATCTTCCTTCAGGGAAGGAAATATACCTTTCTTTCCACTTTTTCTTAACACTCAGCATGTTTATGGGTGCCAGATGCAGCAGTAATTATGTTTCACTGAGAAAGCCTTCAATAAATCAAGTTTAGTACTCACAGGGATACATCATAGCTTCTACCACCAACAGGACATTTTCATTCTACCATCTTCTCTAAAATTAAATGTAATCTTTTTAAAGAAGTTATGTTGGATCACTGAAGTTCAAATGCTGGTTAATGATTGCTTTTGAAAGAAAAGCTAACTCTGGGTGTCACATGCAGCTCCTCTTATAACACACTTCAGTTTACAGGGCTACCTTCCCACCATGATCCATTACATATCTTGCAAAATGCGTGCTCATTCTTTGTTCTATGAAGGTAAAAACCAGAGCTCAAAAAACACAAATATCAGCCCCCCAAATGCCCACATCCACAGCTTCGGAAAGAAGAAAAACATTAGATATCATCCCATAAGCTTCTCCATTACAGCAGTACATTGCAGCATTAGCACTGCCCTTTACAACCTGCACAAAGCATACTTACAGCAACGCTGTGGTTGCTTGCCAGACAAGTGCTCTAAGTGCATCACTCAGATGTCTAGATGCAGATCCATGCTTCAGTGGGCCTGAGGGAAGTCTTTTCCCCCTGCAGAATGCACATTTGAGTGGTGGGAACACAAGAACTTGACACAACAGCTGTCTCTCCTGTTAGCAGGCTATTCCTTGTTTAGGCTCCTCCTGCAGGAGGTCTCGAACTTCTGTTACAACCTCTGTCCCTCTGGCTTGAGCCATAGAAAGGCATAGCTGGAGGTTTTCAAGTGGATGGATGGGTTGTACACACTCCTTTCAAAGCTCCATTCATAAATCTATCCATAAATCCAATCCAATTAATTATTAAAGAGTTGGGGGCAAAATATATCCAAACAGTAGCATTTCCTTGATCCCAATCAACATTACCTAAACTAAAAGGCTTTTCCATGCACTTCTACTCCTGCTAGTATGAAAGCAGGTTTTCTAGTTCTGCTAACTACATACTAATTACACCTACAGTATTTCAAAGAAGAAACTGACAATTTTATTCTCATTAGCTGACATGTTTTCATCTGCCACACCTAAATACTTGTATCTTCATTTTGTGTACTTTGCATACATGACAGCATTGACTACATAAGGAAAAGCCAGCATTCTGCTCTGGCAGGGAGACCTTATTGACATCAGGGAAGGGGAATTGAACAAACAAAAGATGGCTCCTGCAGATACAGATGAAGCTACAGCACTGGTGTTTTTCTTTTTTGGTCCTGAAATGCATCACAGGAAGGAAAAGCATCTATAAATTGAAAGAATGAGTGCTGCAAGTGTTTCATACATCTGAAAAAGCAGTTCTAATTAGCGCTGTCTTTCCACCCAGCCTTTTTTAAGATTATGCTTTTCCAAAAATACATCAATATCCACTGCAAAAATCAACACCCTTCAAGGTTGCAAACATTACACCAGTCAGATTCTGGGACTATAAAAAGATTTTTCTTTTTATACACAACTATAACCTTTTTTTATCCTCACATGCAAAAGAATGCGCTTTCACTGCTGAATACACCCCAGCACAATGAAAAACAGGAGCCCTGAGGCAGTTGGACTTCTAATTCTGTGAAGTGTAAAGGGCCCAACAGATTGCCTGTAGAAAAGCTGGTTGTATTACAGATACTGTTGCTCACCAGAAAGTATTTAAGGTTTTGTAAATTAGTTTCTGACCTAAGCTGAGATTCTATTGAAATCATTAGACAACACTTAACCCATCTCTCTAACATAGATATATAAAACACCTCTAGATATATAAAACCTCTAGATATATAAAAACACCAAGGTTTTTAGCACCTCTATCAATATACAAGCTGGGCAGTAGAACGGCACACAGTTTTCCAAGGAATTATTTTAGTATTAGTGTTTTATACTTAATGGAATTCTTATCCAATGAGTTTAAAGCTGTTTTAAACTCAAATCTGTCGAGTTTCCAACACAGCTGACAGAATACTTTATTTTGAACACCATAAGACAGTAATTGCTTTTGTTCCTGCACCATTCACCACCTCAGTTGTACGCGCTATGTTAATATTTATTACCTGCTAGAAATTTAAGAAATAACTGAAAGGAAAGGCATTTTTCCTCTCTTCCCTTCAATATTCTTTAGTACATCCTGCCACTTTGTTACTACTCTTGCCAAAGTTCCACTTAACCTTTAGCTCTCCTTAGAAAATAGTTCTTCGTAAGTAGAAGTGCATCAGAGGTGCATCCATTTCATATTGTGGCTGCTAGTCACCTTAACATTCTCCAGGCATATTGGGACATCTCACAGCTAAAAGACAGCTTTAAAAGCAAACGGAACCTTCCACTGCAGTCACAAATATGATGCATTCTATACATGACAGCATTTGCACAGAAGTCTGTGCAGCTTAAAGAACATTAATTCCATCACCCCAACCTCATGCCAGCTAGATATTCCTGTATGTTCAGTTATAGAATACCTTCTTCCACTTTCTACTTAGAAATATTGATAAATGCCCAAAGCAACAAGTTTGTCAAAGCCACCACACAGCACTGCCTCCTGCCAAAGGGAAGAAAAAGCAGTTTGAAAGTTAGAACACACATGCTTTTCTCAAGCACTGGTTACATGGGTGATTTTGTACTTCTTTAGTCATCATGACACTGCCCTAGAACTTTCTACACCATATAAGTCCTATGAGAATATTAAAGCACTTTAATGCACAGCCATGATTAATGTACCTGCTAGTTGCACACAAGTAATTTGATACTGAATATATTTTGGCATAAGTAGCAAACCCATGCACTAAATCAAGTGCTACTTTCCTCTCAGAAAGAACTCAAATGCAGGCTGACCAGCTGGATTGCTACTGCCAAAAATGTGTCATTACAGGGAAGTACTGATATTTCTAAGGAAGAGAGTCGAAATCGGCCTGTTGTCAAATCAGTTGGAATAGAACTAAGGGTTGCACAGAATAAGAGCTATGAAAAGTATATGCAATAGAAGACTCATTTCTCCTTCATACAAAACTTTGAAGATAATTACATACGTCAGGACTCAAAATTCCGCAGTGAAAATTTGGCTCATCATACAGCTTTTCCTGTTGTTGCTTAAACCAAAGGGAAACAGTGCAAATAGAGATAAGTTTACATACAAAGATATGTTCCAAACTCAGCCAACAGCTGAAGTGCCAAAACTCAATCCTTCACCAATAGAAGTGCCCGCATGACTAACAGCTCCCAGATTAGGGGAGTCCATCCGTTCGCCAGACTTCTGGCAAGAATCTTAGCACCCATCCCAAGGAGCTGCCTGTGCTCTGCGGTATGACGGCCCCAAAAAGAGCTTCCAGGGTAAGCTCACTGCTGCTGTGCAGTAATTTACAACTACACAGACTAGAGAAACCAAAGACAGGATTGTTCTCCCTAAAAACACATCGCTGAGGAAATAGATTATCATTCTATTTTTAAAAGCAGATATAAACCATATGTAAAAGACAGCCTCACGGTTACGTTCCTTCCCTGCTATCTTTATCCCTACTTGTGCTCAGCATGTGAAAGGTCACCCACTGCAACTCAGCTCTGCTTGCAGAGACAGATCCACACGTCCTGGTGTCCATTACAGCAGACCTTACTGCACTGTAACAAATGCCAGTTGTGCCAGCATGGGACTATGGGGTATTTTCCATACTTTCTCATGGCCAGGTGCATCTAACACTGGAGTTTTACAAGCCCGCTCTTCATTTTGGCTAGCAGAACTGCAAGACTCAGAAACAGCACGCACAGCAGCCTCCAAAGCACTAATCACCTATCCGAAAGTTGGCAGAACACGGTTATTTTGAACACTTTGTGAGACTCTGGGTCTCATCAGAAGCAGACACACTGTTTAACTTGCCACAGCTTACATAAGAATACTTTTCAGTCATATCACACAAGACGAGCAGTCGCCCGCTCTGAAAGGGGCGGGTAAACATTTCGTTGCTCAAGCAATCTCCACTCGAAAATTATTTCTGCTTTTGGGCGATGACCCAAACGCGGACTTTGGCTCCGCCGGGCCTCGCTCTCTGCCCGGAGACCGGGGAGCCGCGCACCAATGGGGAGCCGGGGCCGCCCATTGGCGGGAACCGCCGCTCTCCGCTCGGGTTACTCGCGGTCACCGCCCCTGAGCGCCCCGGCCGTGAGGGTTCCGCCCCGCGCGGCTCTCTGCAAACCCCGAAGCACAACCGTTCCTCGGCTTCCCACTCAGCAAAGGCAGTGTGTTGCCACAGCGGTCGAAGACGCAACGACAGCCTCGCATTTGGTGGCAGGAAGGCTTTCTTGCATCAGAATATTAAAAATGCATGAGGCCGCGATCTTCCAGTGATGAAAGATAACAGGAGCACGGGCTGATGTTCAGCAGTCAGATCAGCTCCTTGCACAGCATGTGGAAACTTGAACAATAAAAAGCAACAGAAATGTACAGCCAAGTTCTAAACGCAAAGGCGAGACAAAGATCTCTATCATGAAGTGCTCAAACTGAGGTCAACAAAACATCCCAAGCGTATGGAGAAACCAGAACAACTCAGTGGCAACATCTGCTATTAGTCACAGCAAAGCACATCCATCACCCAGATGATTTTACAATTACTTGCAACTTCGCAGATTTCAACTGCAGTCTCAGGATGCACCTATAAGGCAAGTCAGCTTCAGAGGCAGAACATAAGGATTGAGACTTCCCCAGCTTTCTTCGTGCAAAGACTAGAGCAAAACAGTGCCAGAAACACCCTCCTTGTATACTAGCTGTGCATGTAACTGTGCTACAGGAAACAGAGAATACCCATCTCTTTGTCATCCAGAACACTGACTTTGCAAGTGAAAGAAAGAAGCAAGGTGTTGGTTGTAACTGTACAGCTCATTTTAACTCTATTCTATGATACACCTACTGATGCAGCCACAGGTTCGACATATTTTTATCTTTCCCTTTGTTCTACACAAGCTTGCATTTAAACTAAAATAGGGTGCATGGCTTAACCCTTCAGCAAACCCGAGAAGGAATAGCAAATTTAATGTAACTCAGTGCCAGCACTACAGAAATACACATTAACCACAACCACTATGGTGTTCCAAGTCTGTTACATGCAGGCTAGCGAGTAGACAACTAAAATGCAGCCAACACAAACTATTTTGCAACACAGATTTAATTTTTAACGCAAGCACTTTTAGCACATATTGATTGGATGTGGACTGAACAGCTCACTTCAAGATAGCATTTTATGCAATTATCTTGAAATGTGAATACTCCTAAGGCCCCAGATAAGCCATTTCTCTGTAAAACATCAATTCATTTTCACCACAGCCTCATTTTAATAGACCTCTCACTGACTGAGTCTCAGCATTAGACTTATTTGTTAAAGTCTCAGAACAGCCTTAATCCATACTTAAAAAGAGAAGTCATCCCATCTACAACCTTTTAAAGTCATCTTTACAGTGGAATAAACTCACGGACTTTGATGTATGTACATACAAGTTATATTGCAGCCTAGCTACAAAACCTGTCTCCTAGGCCCTTGGGGTATGTTTCACCACTTCAAGCTGTTAGCTTAGACAACATGCCAAGACTTGCATTGATGGTGTTGAAGGTAGGAAGACAGGTGCCTTGTAAAGCAGAACAAACACTCAGCAGCAACAGCAAAACACCAATCACACCTGCACTGTTTCCTCAGATTCACCCTGATTTTGTCTGAGTGAGGAGGTGCATCCAACACTTCAGGGGCAATCTCATCTGCTTCATCAGGAATGAGACCTTGTTGCTTCTTCTGTTCTACATAAAAATCCTTTATTTACTTTTTTTTTTTAAACTCACTCTCACTGAGAACATTTAAGACAATCTTTTTTTGAAGAAAAACATTCAATAAGAGCCCAAAGATACAGCACAGAAGTTAGAATTTTCCTTAAAAACAAACAAACAAACACTGGATTTGTTGGAATGTATTTGCCCAACTAAATCTATTCTGTAGAATAAATAAAAGTTCTACAAACAGCCTTCCGAGAACTTCAACCAGACTGGGCAACGACCATTCCCCAAAGCCTCACCCCTACACATAACTAAAGAAAAACTCAGAAGACCTCTTTGCATGCAATACACACCAAATCAGGTCATCAGTTTCTGACCAAATTATACACATATTCTGCACAGAACAAGGGTGCTGTATCCATGGTTTTAATTCTCAAAGTACCAAATAAAGGCCAATAGCAAAAACACATTTTGGCACTACCACCCAGACACTGGATTTCCATCTGTCCCATTTACTACTTAAAACAAAAAATATTAGCTGAGAGATCAGTATTAAACTTACATCCTCAGCTTTCCCTAAAGAGAAAGCAAGTGCAGATGAAGTGGGAAGGCAGTAATCAAACCCGGAGTGAAAGCAAGCACTCCTCACTAATCTAAGGAGTCGAAATCTTAAGTCCGGCTAGCAGTGTAACAATTTAGTTACTAGGACTGGCTAGAGAAGCAGAACAGCTGTTTCTTTTGTAGCCTCACAGGCCCTGTAGCTGTTTGAAAGCTACTGTAACATGATACCAGACAAAAAGGAATTCAGCAAGTTTTTGCTCTGTGGGAGGAATTGTTTCCTGCCTTAGAACGACCTACAGTAACACTACTGAGCTGGGGTTACTATCGGACACACATTTGCCATAGAAATAAGTTGTTGCTGCTAATTCAGTTTCTTCCAGCACTAATTTCCCATGTACTGCTAGCTACTCATGCCTTTACTTTTTCAGAAAGTACTTTTAAACAATGGATTTTTTAAACTGAGTTGAACAGGGAATATCAGAAGATGGGAGAAATAGAGCCTCCGCATCATCATTCTCACAAGTTAACAAAACTGAAAACAAAATTAGCTTTGCTTACAGCCATCTTTACCTTACCTAGTCTGTTCTTGTAAGATCAGATGCGGCTCTACAAAGAACTTGACTCTTAATTTAAACCGATAAGGAGCTAAACCATCCATCTGCTGGGAAATCCTGTTCCTCAGATTCAGCCATAGATTCTCCCCTTTGCTGCCAGTGAACTGCAGTCCGAAGTAATCAACTTCTATGATCCCCAACCTTCTGCAAACCTGAAAGAAAGAGGTCCTTTATAAGGAACGAACAACACGATTAGACAAAGATACCACGACTCAAAAAATCGAGTTGTGCGTGAGCAGCCTGAAACGAGAAACCCTGTTCACAAGCATCTTTATACGAGCGTTTTGTGGTTTTTTTTTTTTTAATAGATTTTTCAAAAAAGAGCGTGCGAAGCAGTACGTAAACAGGCACTGAGAGCGAGCAGGCGACGTCCCCACCGGCCGAGAACAACACGGACTTCACGACCCCTCGGGACAGAGGCCCGAGCCCCGCAGCCAGCAGCGCTCCCCGGGCGGGGCTCGGCTTCACCCGGGCGCCACGCACAGACGGGGCAGCGGCGCTCGGCTCTTCCCGCAGCTAGCCGCACCTGGACACGGCCTCAGCTACTGCGGGCCCCGCCCGGGCTGCCTCGTCGCGGCCAGACGGGTCTCCTCGTGTCCTCCTGCTCCCGGGTTGGAGGTTAAGATGTGGCTGCAGCAGAGAGGCCGAGGCCTCCCGAGCCCGCGCCGCATCCCCCGGCAGCCCGCCCTTCCCTTACACAAGTGAAGGAGAAAGGCGATAACCACCGCCGGGCCGGAGTGCGGCGAGGAGAAGGATGCGGCAAGCCCTGCATCCGACACGGAAGGAAGGGGAGAAAAAGGAGGAAATAAAGGGAGACCGCCGCCCGCGCCACGGGGGACGCCCCTCACCTGGTTGAGGCAGTCCTCGCCGTTGGCTTTCGCCTCTACCTCCACCTCCATCACCACCGCGTCCGGCCTGGTCACATAGCACAGCATGGCTGGGGTCGGCCAGCGCCGCCACCGCGGGCGGACCGAGCGGCTGCTGCCGTCACCGGCAGGGAAGGGCGGCTGTGGCTGCGGGCTGCACCTCGCCCCCCACGCCCGTTCTCCGCCACAACGCTCCGACTGACCACGCTCCGCTGCCGCCGCTCCCTCCTTATATACCCTCTGCGTCCCCCCCTGCGCGGCACCTGCGGACCAATCGCGAGGCGTCGCTCGCCGCTGCGGGCCGCTCCGCCACCAATCAGCGCCGCTGTCCTCGGGAGAACGGCTGCGGCTGATTTTTGGGTGCGGGGCTGGGCTGTGGGGCGCCCCCTGCCGGCCTGGGGGTGTGGTGAGGAAGGACGGGATATGGATGGGGAAAACGCGGGGCGGGTTTGGGAAAAACAGCTCCTTTGCAGGGACTTTATGACGGGGAGATGAGCCACCAACATGAAAATCACAGCATGTTTTTCTCCACTTGTTCTTCAGTTTATTTCGGAGTGGGTGCAGGAAAAGTTTGGGTTTCATTTCTTGCTTGCACACATACCTCTGCTGTGGCATTTCCTGCGATTTCTGTCTTAACCGAAGAATGTCCCAGATAACAGCTAGGGTCAGATGCCGCAGGAAAGTGAAGAAATCCTTCCCTAATGGTGTGATAGCACGCTGTATGTTTTACCCAGCACCAAACAGTGATGGCTAGCTTACACCTGGCAGGCATTCCTTACACATCTATTACATTCATGCACCAGGGGGGTTGGCTCTCCTTGCTGTCAGTATTGGGCAGGGCTGGCTCCTGTCCCAGAGGCCTCACCTTTTCTGCATACATCAACATTCCTCCTGTGTTTTCTTCTTGTCTGACCTAACGCAGATGAAGGTGTTCTTATTATGTCTGTAGGAGCACCATCCTGCTTTGAAATCTGCAAAGCCTAAAGCCACCAAAATAGCTTGTAGCGCTAAATCGCATAGATTGGTTAAGCCCTGTGCAAAACAAGCATTTTCAAGTGTGTCATCTGGATGCTGCTGTCACAGAAAGACGTTCCTTTCTGCAGGCCCTCTGTGATGTTTTATTCATGATTTAAGGAGACAGAAAAGAACCGTGTCCTATACTAACATATATGGGACAGCTCTGGAATTGAGAGTACCTTGCAGCCTATTGGGCTCTGCCTGAATGAAAAGCCCAAAGCCTCTTTCGCTCCCACTTAGGCTCTTTGATGGGTCAGTAATACTCAGTGAAGCACACTGACAAATGCATGTTCACCTTTGGAGTGTGGGAGGAGAACACTGCTCACCAACGTGCCATCTTGATGCCGTACGTCATGACATTCTTAGTGCTGCACCACAGCAATGCCTCCAGGATGGATCACACTTTCACTACGGTACTGAGTTGTGTATAAATTGCCCAGGTGTGATCCCTATACAAGGTTCCTTTTTGGTCACATCCTATTTCACACAGCAGGTGCTGTTCATAGTGCCTCCTTGTCTGATATTTGAATGGAAAGCCTGCGTGAAAGCAATTGTGTAGAAAAGATAAGTTCCAGACCTTTGAACTTGGAGCCTTACACTGCAATATTTGCTCATCTTACTAATAAAGGCTAATGCCTCTCCTTGTACAGGCTTTTGCACACAAGGAAGTTGCCTCCAGGCTGTTGTCGGGATGTTCCATCTCGTGAAGAGTCCAGTAGCACAGTTACGATCTTGCTATCCAGAGGCTTACACAACATCTCTAAGATCCTTTCTTGTGCTGCTTGTTGCCCATGGTATTGAATCCTGTCAAATTCACTTCACTGCTACCAAATATCAGGTCTGTAATCTCACTTCCTGTACTAATCAGAACCAGTATGGGGATGTTAGACCTTGCCTTTTTCTTCCTTATTCTTGCACTTTGTATACACTTTCTTATTGTTCTTATTTAATGCTAGCTCATTTGTTTTGGCTTAAATAGAATATATGATGTAAGTAAGTACAGGCTATGACAGATTGGTAGGCCGTCCCAGACCCATTGTAGAACCAGGGAGGACCTCCACACACCCAGAGGACACAGGGGTGTGAGGGAAGGTGGGAATGCAAATTAAGGACGTGTGACTCTGTGCCTGTGAACTGCATGCCCAGCTATGTATGCACGTGCCTGTATGGGCTGTATACGTGTGTTCTGTATGTGTGTGTCTACTACAAATGCATTTCCAGCCTCACTACTGGTTGGATCTGGAGGCACAGAGCGGCAGTAACCTTGCTGCTCGCAGGCTGATGGATTCACTATGATGTATTTTCCTCTAACATAAATCCTGAGAGAAAAGCACTGGAAAGCACATACCGCGCCATTACTATTCTAGTTCTGCTTTCCTTTTTTTCTTTTTATTTTTTTCTGACCGTCTCTCTGCATTCTGCATCAAACTGGGTAACCCAGGACTAGTTCAGCATAAATGCATTTCAGAATGATTTGAATTGGAGCTGAGGGGGATCACATGATTGCAGTCAGTCTCTTCTGCCATCTCCTCCCTAGGTGAAATCGCTTTGTGCATGAGCACAACCGCAGTGTCTAGCTTCCTTCTTGTCACTGTCAGGGCTGCTGGTCATGCTGCGAATGCACATCACTCACGTGGCTGCTGATCTGCTGGCTGAGCAGCATGGAGGGAAGCATAAAATCGAGGAGCTGCTCTGACACCAGCGGTTGCTTAAGGGAGACATTTATCCATCCATAAACGCACAAACACTTTTCTAAATGAAAAATCTTGTCAGTGTTCTCCCAAATATCATGCCTTTGTCATAACTCCTCTGCTTCACACCTTCCTCCAGTGCTTAATTAGCTTCTATGGCAAAAAAAAAAAGCCTGCTAGTGATTGACGAGCCTCCCACTGTGCTAGTTCACCGTTACCGACACAGCAAACACAGACTAATGTGCTAAAATTGTCCTTAAGTTTACTGTTTTAAGCATCTGGTGATCATACCCAAGACTCTCATTATGCGAGGGGAAAGAAAGTAAAGCTGGGGATGTCAGTTCATTCCTAAGAACACAAAAACAATCCCACCAGATCAGACCAAACGTCGACAGAGCACCAAATCCTATTCCTTGCAGGTTCAGTTCAGTGGTAGACCGCAGGATGAACAAGCAAGGAGGGCTTGTGACTGCTTATATGCTACAAAGGCCAATACATGATGCTGTACTGAAGAATATAAGAAATTCATATTCTTACTCTCTAGAATCCTCTCAACTTTCACTGATTTGCAGCTCCAGAGCTCCTAGTCTGCTTTTGTGCTAGGTAAATAAATTTGTGAAGTAGAATTGTATCTTGTACTCAAAACCTTTCCCAGTTTTGGGCTAGACTCATTACAGAAACTTTATTCTGGATGTTGGGACGTGTATCAGCTGCTCTTGAAATCTATTAACTTCGTTTCATAACTTATTTATTTACAATGGATAGCAAAAAATAATCCCTCCATTTCTGCACTTATTCAGAAACTCCCAACATCAAATCCCTGTTGGACGTGAGCTTGTTTTCCAGGTCATCGATTCCATTTCTGAGCATTTTACTTCCTTTAGTGCTCCTAGAATGGAATAATGATTGATTATTTTCAAGTTGTTAAAATGTGCTCTCACGGATTAGAATGAAAGCTTTCAAAAGAAATTCTCACTACTATTTGTTCCTGCTGCCGCCCCTATAAACTCACATATTTAGGTTGTTTCCCCTTCCCCACATCACTTTCAGAACTGCCAGGAGAATGAGATAAACTGCTTGGAATTAAATAGAATAAAATATCTAGAAGGGGTTGGTATAATAGCTATTTCTGTATGTGTCAAGCATTCAGTAACCACAATTAAAAAGAAAATTACAGGTATCTAGGAAGCCACGACATTGCCTTAATTATAAAAGTCAAGTCCACAAAATACACACTCACACACACATATAAGGTTGTATTTTACTCTCCACTGCAGAGTTTGCAATCACTGATTTCATTTCACAGAGCTGGTACGTCTTGAGCTCAGATTAACTCTCAGTAGTTAAGTATCTGTCTGGGTGATCAAAAGCATGCATAAAAAGGCACATGCAGAAGCACAGTGATTACTAACACCAAGGATGGCCTTAACTGTAATGCTTCTAAAATTTGGAGACTTTGCACACACGATAACTATTCAACAGAATATATTTTAAATAATTGAAATTAGTTTTGAAAGGAAGAATTATCTCCACTCCTGCTTCTTTTTTTTCCCTTTCTATGTCTTTTATTGAATAGCTTCAGTGGAACATTCTTCTGTACTGAAGAAATATTAGCGCCACCACATTGGCTTGACTGAAGCTAAAAAATTATTAATAGCAGCAGTACGTGATGAAAAAATCATGTTTTCCTTTTATGACTGGAAAACACAGGCTTCTGAGAGTACTCGGTGTTCAGATGATGTCACACCGGTCATTTGATGGCAGAAATTGAAATCAATGAGGGCATCCTTCCAGAATTTTGATTAGAGAAAAAGACCTATTTATAATTCTAGCGTCCTGCAAAAATTATCTGTTCTGCTTCTTGAGCTTCTTGCCAGATTACACTGATCTACGAGCAGGTCAAAATATATCACACCAAATTTTAGAAGTGCACTACTGCGTGAATCATTCACTGTATGAATCAGAAAGGGAAATGGTCGTTTAACAGTAGAAAATTCCCCTGGCTTCTTCTGAACGTTAATTTTGATAAGAGAAAGAATTAAAAAAAGAGAAAACACTTGTATGGTTACTATTATCAACAAAGTTTATGTTTTTATTTTAGAATTTATAGAAACATAATCATACTTTGTAATCTAGCAGGAATGCTTTAGAGATTAGTATATTTTAAATACCGTTTTATTCTACTTTGTATACATCAGCTGCAATTGGTACAAATAGAATCAGAGAATCATATTAAGGCTGAAAAATTCCTCAAAGATCATCCAGTCCAACTGTGCACCTACTACCTGCATTTCCCCCCTTAGCCATGTCCCTTAGTACCACATCTACCCTTTCCTTAAACACCACAGGGATGGTGCCTCCACCACTTCCCTGCATAACCTGTTCCAGTGTATAACCATTCTTTCTGAGAAGAAATTCAGTTCACATCATGCTCATTGAGAAGTGGCATCATTCGCTTACAGTCTAAGAAGGAGAAGTAAGAATTTGCTTGTGTTTA